GTTTAGATTGTGCCTTCCCAGTGCTGTCTGCTGCTGACACTTTGCGCTTGCCGGCTTTGGCGACGCACGCGCTGCAGATGCGGTGATTCTCGTTGCCTACATCAACCACACTGCCGCAAATGCCGTGCAGTCGCCCGCCACATCCTCCCTGGCAGCCGTGACCATGAGGGTCTTGCGGCGTGGTGTCCTGTAGTTGGCACAGTTCACCTTCCGCACAGGGCATGGTACGCCCCTGTGTAGAGCTGTTCGGGTCTGCAGCAGCACGTGTACCCTATTTCTGTGTGTGGAGTCTATGTTTTCTGCCCTGGGTTGTGCGTGTGTGTGTTTCGCGCGTGCGGAGTACCGGCACTATTGGGGGTGACAGCAGTGCCGAACCGGCACTATATCGGGCATGCTTTAATTAGTGCCGGTCTGGCACTATTGAGAGCTCCGCCTGTGTGCAGAGATTTTACCGGCACTATACCGGGCATCTGGCACTATTCAACCGGCACTAAAAGGGTCCCTCGACTGTATAGACTATTTAGTCTATTTACATCTCCTCTACGAACTAAACTTGTGTACAGCAGCGAATCGTGAACCGCAGCTAACATCAGCAACGAGATCGAGCGACTGCAATCTGCAAGGCAGCCAGCAGGCGGAGAACAGGAGACAGAACAATTACGAAAAAGTACTGCTATAGACTAGTCTATTTACGTATCTCCTCTAGGAACTAAACTTGTGTAAAGCAGCGAATCGTGAACCGCAGCTAACATCAGCAACGAGATCGAGCGACCGCTATTGTATGTAGGTCGGCAGATGATGAGCATACAGCCAAGCAGCTGTTGTTTATTTCTACAACACGACGAATTCATCTCTACGCTGCTATATCCACACACAGCAGTAGTCCTGGAGATTTGTGCCGTAGCTTGTTTTTTTTTCATCACTACGACCCAACGAACCCGTCTCAATCGAAGAGTTGCTTTTCGGTTCGTTGAGATTCGCTGGACTGTTCGAGTAGCAAACAAGAAACCCTTTACCTGTGTGAGCTGTTAAGCTTGGGAAACGTCACAACCAACTGGCAGCTGGCAGCCAGCTGTGGGCTGGTCCTGCTGCGTGCTCATACTGCCGTTGTTGTTGTTGATGTTTCTCACAAAGCTCTATAGTCCACAAAAAATGGGAGTACGTGGTCTCAAAACCCGGCACATACGACGCCGCGGGGAAAAACAACACAAATAGGGTACAAACCACTCGGAAGAAGAAAACAAAATGATAGAAAAGAACAAGTATCGCACCGACCGTTCGAGAAATGAGCCCTCGGAAACCGATCAAAATAAAACAAAAACAAAACTAAAGGAGGACGCTTCCCACACCCGCCCAAGGAAAAAATCAAAGGGTAACGTACCAGCACCAGGCACTACGCACCAGGGCATGGAAGTAACGGAGAAAGCAGGACAAAGAGGCGGCAGATGGGCAGACAGCCAGACGTATAAAAAC